AGTAGTAGAAGAGAGAGAGAGAGAGAGAGAGAGAGAGAGAGAGTGAGTGAAAGAATGAGAGAGAGAAAAAGAGAGCATTAGGGACCAACCAAAAAGAGAGAAAAAATGGCGTGCAATGGTGTCGATTGTCGCGGTGGATCGTTTTTTCTTTTTATATGCACATTAAAACAAGAAAAAGAACAATGGAGAAAGTGAGACATCAGTGCCTCGACTTATTTCGCGACCGAATATCGAACTAATAAGTTAACCTGTATCATCTTTACAAGGACATCATGCGATGTGTATGAAACATGTCGTTTTCGGTTCTCGCGAACACTCGATCTTCCATGTTTTTAAAAAAAAAAGAGAAATGGGTATAAAAATTGAAAAATTAATAACAATCATGCTGTTTCTTTCTTGCACAGTCAATGATGGTTAAATGATATTCAGCCGAAAAAAATATAAAAAAAAAGACTTCCGTGTAAGTCACTTTACCGAGGAGTCTCGTGCTGGACAAATATATCTAATTATTTATAATATTTATAACTTTATATGATACACGGGCATTTCGCATAAAATAAATTTCATGTTGAATTTCGAACTGTTATTAATAAAAAGCGTTGAGTTCCTACAATGGTTTCTTTACTTTGCTTCTGGATAATTATTGTCTCATATCACAAATTGAAAGTTTCCAAATCGATTTTCCATTTTCCATGCAATAAAAAAAACCAAGAGAAATAAAGAGAAAAATTGATCGTGAAACTCGATGAAATTATGTTTTCATTCAAGTGAATGATAAACAACACATATAGAACGCACTGTAAATGTCGAATCGGCCACGTTGCTGTTTGTCGAATCTCGTAATTTCGCTAATTGTCGACTCGCATTAAACCCGCAACAAATCAGACTGTTCAATGCGTTTCAACGTCGATTATTTACACGACAAAACTAATCGAAACATAGTTCCGCACAGAACAATTGCTAGAAAGAGACAGAGAATAGGATCAACCAGTCTCATTGATTTGTCCATGATGGTATCTTCCATTCACTTTCACGGTGTATAAATACTTCGTAATGTTTACACATTTCTCATATTAAATTATTTTCACAGCTATTCCTTTTAATTGGGTTTGATTTTCGAAATGCATTTTTATCGATTCTTTTTGCTAAATCAAAGGCAAATAAATCTCTGAGAGTTCTAGTAGCAATCATATAGAATTTACAGTAGCGCCCATCGATTGACACGGCGAAAAAGAGAAAGAAAAGCGAAAAGAGCGAACTCTAGGCGATCAAATGATGGCGCACGCAGTATATCTACATTACTCGTGCGATAATCGTAATGAAACTTTGTTCATTTCGATCATCACTTTCTTCGAAGCTGTTGTTGCTAAGCGGATTCTTCGCGCTTTGTGCTAATCCCTATTCCTCATCGAATGTTTCTATTAATCGATATATGGTGTTAGGCTTCATGCGAAGAAATCTTTTGGTGTTTTCTCGTGGATCAACTAGTTAACGCGAAAATTTATTACACAGTCGCAGAAAGATAGCATCTGCGCCACAATGTTCCAGCACTAGGTCGAACAGTGGCGGTCTACGCGTACAGTCGCGACGAACGCGCGCGCGGAAAGGGGAGGAGGATCAATATCATGGTTAGGGAGAGACCAGACTGAAAATAGGAGCGAGTGTAGAAGCAGCGATGAGGGGTAAGGATTACAAGAGGAGAGGGAGAAGAAAAAAGGAGAGAAGCCAACCCGAAAATGTCAATTCGCCGGCTTTGATTCTTCGTGAAATTACAATTGTGACAAGGATGGCTCGTGGCCGATTTAAATAGGGTCTTAGTGTTTTACTGGAAAATTTTAGTGCATAGAGAAAATGTTTAAGATGATGAAGAAATATTTTTGTGAATATTATTAATTCGAAGTTGAATTTTAGATTAAGAAGGATCATAGATTTGAAAATTCATAATTTGTTTTTAAATCGTATTTTTTCGTTGATCGATTTAAACTTTTTATAGAATTACGATTATATAGATCGCATTTATACATAATCGTAATGATTAATATAATTGTACTCTTCATTTTTCAATATTATTGAAATATTTTATTAATTCGAAATTTTATAACTTATATGTTTTATATGTTTCTTTATGTAATTTTATTGATTTTTTATCTTATCACGTCAATTTGTTAATTTGATTTAGAATCTTTAATTGATTTCGAATTTTATCAAGATTTGTTAACCAAAGTTTTATAAAAAGAAATTTTTATAAAAAAAATTATCGTGCGTTATATACGCATATAATATTTAAAATTTTCAAATCGATTTAGAGTCCCTATACTGATCCTATACTAATAATATTAGTATACAATGAAAGTTATACATGTCTTACGTAATCAAGATTATTTAATTTATGATCTTATTGTGTTAATAATAATTTTCTTGATTAAAGATCGTACATTTTGCATTGTGATTAAAAAAAAAAATCTTTTCTTTTATGCAATTTTAAATAGATCGATCATTTTTCACCAAAATTCTTTGTTAAAAATTGATTGATGTTGTATAATAAATGATAAAAGAAAATTAAATCATTATAATCTCATCGTTATATTTTTCATAATAATAGGTTATAACAACAACTAGAAATAACTAAGAAATTTGAAATAAAATAATATTTCTTTTTTCTAGTTCAAAAATTTAATTGACAAAACTATAAAGCACAATGACGATCCACCAGCGACCGACATCGACTAGGCATACAATATTCCATTATAAACACAACACCGAAAATGGCTCATGAAAATCCGTTATAAAATCATTAACTGACCTTTGCGATAGAAAAAGACAGATAATATATAATCATTTTTAGAATCTATTCTTATTTTAAAATTACAATTTCTAGCTTCTACAAATTATTTAAGTCTTAAATTATATAGAAATTTTAAATACAATAAAAAATATTAAATATCTTTTGAATTATTTGTTAAACAAGAAATATAATTTTTGTTTACAAAGTAATATTTTTTGATTAATATTTATTAATAGAATAATATTTTTTCCTTAAACAACAACGGATTTGAAATGTCAATCATCTTTCGTCGTAAAGGTCAGGCGAGATCTTTTCTAAGCTCTTGTTCGACAAAGAAGAATATATACACACACATAAAATTTCATTCTCCTGCATGAAACTAAAAAAAAAAGAAAAAAAAAAAGAAATAAAATGAAAAAAAACAAAATAAAAATATGAAAAGTTGGGCGATATATATTTCAAGGTTATATAAAATCAAACTCGTGGTTCTTGTATCCAGTTTATTTTATACTCGCTTGCCTTGTGTGTAGAGCGTCGACTAGATGATTTTCTACTGATCCTCTCTTTACAAGAATACGAAAAAACAATCGTCGAGGTCGTCGCGAACATGAAATCAAAACCTCTTTTGAAACACTTTACTCATATAGCGTCATCTGGTGAATTTCATTTCTTCCAAGGCCGATCTGTTTAAAAACTTTGTATTTTTGAAAATTTTATTTTATTTTTAATCTATATTTTGAAGAAAATTGATTTTTATCTATTATTTTATGTACTTTTAAGAATTTAAAAACAATATTAATTTAATTATTAAAATTGTTATTTTTTTTTTTTTAGTTCTTTAGTAATCTTTCATGAATTTTCAATTCAAAGAGATCGTCTTTGGATAAATGAAATAAATTCTACAATAGGAAGAAACGAGAAAAAGCAGAGTATAACTCAACGAGTTTAAAAATGTAATATTATATATATAGTATCTTTTTCTCGATGATTTTTCCTACTGACATTAATCGATAATTTTTATCGATATAATTAGTATTATTACATTAAAGTTCAGAACAACGCTTGTGGGATCAGTATTTATAACAACGTGAAGAGGTTTCGATAAATTAAATAAAAATAATATTCGACCAACACGATGACTACGACGACAAATCAGAATCACGGCGACAGAAGCATAGCAACGTATCGGTTTCTTTTTTCCTTCGTCGTATATTGTAAATAGCGTATAGTGTGTGTAAGCAGAGTACGGTTGGAGAGAAGTAGATAGAGACAAAGAGAAAGCGAGCGAAGCACGTGACTGTAATTTTTGCGGCTGACGGATAATCGGCGAACATCGCCGTGCCACGGAGTCTTGATGTTTTCTTCTTCGACCGAATTGCGAACGAGAGGGGATTGAGAATGCAAACGAAAGCCGTTTCTCTCCCTTCTCGGCGAGAAATCGCTTCGAATAGGTCATAGGATATGGTCTGTGGCGATACGTAACGGGCGTGCACAGTGACAATCTTGAAAAAATAAAAAGAAATGAAATAATTAGATATTCATACAATTCGAAAATTAGTTACATTGTTAAAGTTATCCATCTTATGAATGATCGAATTGATATAAACAATAAGAAAAAAATATACAATTAAAAACAAATAATATCGATTCCAATTAAAATCGATCTTTCGAATTACGAAATTAAGGAACAGAAAAAAATAAAGAAGAAACGTATGTGAACGGGATAAGCATGCTAGCGCCTTCATTGCAGATCCATCGACGCAGAATCAATACTCCCTTCACGCTATTGTTCTCAACGAGATTGTGATATATATATTGTTAATGCTATAACGATAATTAGAGCGCGTACATATAGAGGGCGCATTGTTCGTCGCGCGGACGTTTTAGTCAAAAAGGGGGCGCAGCAAGCAGTCATCCCGGAGACTCAAACGAAATGGATTTTTCGCGAGCTCGCCGATATGATTTTCGATGATCCGTGCCGTGAAACTTACGCCTCGCCGTTTCTTTCCGTTCGCGAATACATGAAAACAGATCGGGTCACCGAGAAAGACGAGACGAGCAAGCAATAAAATAATAGTGAAACAAAGGAAAGAGAGGAAAAAAAGAAATAAGAAGAGATAAAGATAGTGATAGAATGAGTGACATACGTTGATTGGATAGAGACGCGAGGGAAATAACGTCTGTAAATAAACGAACAAAACGGAAAAAAATGAAAGAAAGAAAACAATGTTGCGTTATAATTATTTATGTTCAAATCGAAGCGAATTCGAGAGTGAATTATTATAATAATTCGTAATTTAACACGAAGTACGGAGGAAGGGAAATGAGAAATCATATACACAGATTATGTATATAAGCTAATGGGTAATATCTCCCTTGGTAAAGGATAGTTTACGAATAGTTATTTTTATTACAATTATTATTATTATTATTATCATTATTATTATTATTATTTCTAAGTAACTATTATTATCACATAATTATTATTATTATTATTATTATTATTGCTACTATTACAACTACTATTACAACTATTACTACTACTATTACTACTATTATTATTACTACTACTACTATTACTATTATTATTATTAATATTATTATTATTATTAATGTTATTATTATTATTATTATTATTATTATTATTATTATTATTATTATTATTATTATTATTATTATTATCATTATTAATATTATTATTATTAATATTATATTATTATTATTATTATTGCTATTGCTATTATTATTATTATTACTTATTATTATTGTCATTATTAATCTTGCAATGGCATACCAAGATTTTTTGTTATTTTAATATAATATGCATTTTCTTTATTATATCGCAAAATTGTTGCAAATATAAATTTTATATAATTTTTTTTTAATATTTATATAATTTAAAAATATATATATTTAAAATTATATGAATGAATTATTTTATGAATTATTTTCTTTGTAATTTTTTGATATAGAGTGAAAGACTTGCTAAATTTGAAAGATCTTAATATCAATGAATCGAAAAAATAGTATGCCATTGGAGGCTTAATATTATAATTATCATTGTTATTCTTCGGCCAATGATCTCAAAAGAAAGATAGTAATTGTGTTTGGATAAGAGTGTTACTAAATCTGAGCCGATTTCAATTTTTATCAAAGGCCACAATGGAAAAATTATTATCGTTTCATACATTCAAAACATAAATTTTATTTTTTCATCATTTTCTCTTCTTCTATTTTCACTATTTCATTTTTCTTTTTCTTCATATGTTCATTCCTTCCTTCTTTTTATTTTTATTTCTGGCCTATGTACTCTCTAAACATGTTTATGACGCACTCGAAACGAATTCTTCGTCTACAGTTGCGCTTCGTTTCCGGTTATAAATTCCGTTACATTTCTCATACGCGTGTATTCCAAGAAGGTGGCAAACGCGCGGCTTTTATATTCTTTTCTTCGTTTCAATGTTTTGAATCACTCAGACTTCTTCTGGCTTCAGGAACGTGTTAAATGAACGCATCAAAGAATGAACGTTCCTTTTTTTTACCAAGCCATGCATTCTTTCATTGCATAAGAAAGAACATGAACAGGATAAATAATCTATTGTATCGATATAAATCCCGTTTACATAAAGTTTTTTATAAGTTTTTATCAGATAGATAAGAAATATGTTTATTTAAAAATTGGGAACGCCAATTTTTATTAATTTTCCATCAATACACTCCAAGATTCAAAAATGAATAATTATTTAATTTTCTCTCAATCCCATTAATGAATTCCTTGTGCGAGGACATTAAAAAAAAGAAAAAATAATAAATAAATAGCGTTTTAATATAACGTAATTCGAAAGTGACCTATTGAATAAATTTAGTTAAAACTGATAGCGGTGCAACGCTGATCAAATTACTCATAAACATGTTTTATCGAATGAGAGTCAAGACATTTTGTCATGTCTTTGTATATTTTTATGCAATGTTGTAGAATGATATTGTTTCAAATATATTATACAGATAATAATAATAAACAAATTTATATGCCATAATCTGTATTTAATTTTCTTTCATTATATCCTACCATGAGTGTGTATATAATGGAACTTACAATTTATATTAAATCAAAATACTCAAAAGAAATCTAGTAAAATATAGCTAAGTTGTAAATATGTTTAGTATCGTTTTTCAAAGAATAATTTTTTCAATATTTTTTTTTTTATATAAAAAATATTTTGCAAACAAACACTAATTACCAAGTTTGAAATATATACATATATATTATATGAATATATATATATATATATATATATATAATATACATATAACGTAATAGATTGTTAAGATTTTTTAATTAATAGATTAAACAAAGAAAACAATAAAGTTAATTAGATATCGAAGTTATTTTTTTAACATATTTTGCAAAACAAATAAGAAGAGAGAATAAAACAAGAAGAGAATAGTGGAATAAAAACGAAAAGTAAAAATTCAGGAATCAATGTTATCAAGAAAAGCATATAAAATAATAGTAGAAAATAGAAATAAAGTAAGAATTAACTATCAACTCCATCTTTTGAGTGACAAAAGCAAGAAAATATTAAAAACATTTAAGATAGAGCTAATCTTTAATTCTTATTTGTTTTTAAACAAATTTCTTTGAAAAATTAAAAGATGGCGATGATAGTTAATTCTTACTCTATCTCTATCCTTCTACAATTATTTTTTTCTTATTTATATGTGTTTCATTTGTGGCACTCTAGAGGCGGCGCTGATTTTCTAATTTTTACCTTATCTTCTTTCACTATTTGTTCTACTTGTCTATAATTGCTCTTAGCATGTAACTATAGACGAAGTACAGAATATTATTAAACACATTTTCAATGTATTAAATTTTTTTCTCTATTATATCTATGTTTAAATTATATTTAAAACCGGACAAACTTTGACGCGTCTTATCGATACGGCAGTTGAAATATAAGTGTTGCTTATCTCCATTTGGTAATTTAATTTGTAGACGAAGTCAAACGCGGAGAAAGTATTGACGCTATTTAAATTACAAACGAATATTTTAAAATATGAAATGTTTAATATTATACCAATACTTTATTAGTTACTAATACTTTTATTATTATAATTTATTGATATAATATAGTAATTTATAATTTATAATTCATTAAATTTCTTAACTTTCTATAATTCATTTTTATTAATTTTATTTTAATTAATAATTGATTTTTCAAATTAAAATCAGATTTATATTTCTAGTATTAATTATGATTAATTTCTGTGTTAAAATATTTTAAATGCCATTTTTTATGAGAAAAATAATTGTAGAATAAATATGAAATTGATTCATTATAATCTCATTAAAATCGAACATAATACTGTGATTCATAATATGAAATATTTATGATAAATTAAAAGTGCAATAATTAAAGTAAATTAAAAATATGGGAAACATTCAATCATAAAATTTCATTCCAACATTTTATTTATCACGAATCTCTCTTAAAAATTGTGCTAATTTAGGATCTACATTAATAGCCTTAAGTCTTCGTTCTAATGTTTCAAAATCCACTCTTTCAAGCCATGTAGGTGGATCGATTTCTTTCAGAGGAAGAGAACATAATAATCGTTCCACTGCGGCACACAAACCACACCAAGCTCTAAAATTTAAGGGTTCTTTAATTTCGCCAATTATAAGTTTTAAATACGTTTCTTGTTCTTGAGTTATTGGTTTCCCAATTATATCTTGAAGAGCTTCATGGATGTCATTTGGGGAAATATATTTATTATTTTGCATCATATCTTCTTGAAATTTGTTGAAAACTCTAGCAAAAATAAGTTTTCTTCCCGAGGAAACAAATACATGTTTACTAAGATATTCCAATATTGTTAATCCTAATAAAAAATTTTAAATACATTGTGCGAGATTTAGATTGAAAAAATTATTAATAATGATTTAAGATAAAAAAAAAAATATTATGATTACTTACCACGTAAGCTTTCACTATCAAGAATTTCAAATCGAGCTGTTTGACGCGAAAATGCTCGCGGTGTATTTACTAGTACAGGATTTGAAAATATTTGAGATTTTTTTGAATGTAAATAATTTTCACCTTTTACACGCAAAGCTTCCTCATATGCAATTTTTCTCTAAAATTATAAAATTCAAATATAATATGAATTAAAATATTAAAAAATTAAAATTAATCTAAGATCTCACTCGAATTGAAAACTCTGCTTCCACTTTATCGCTGTCTAATTCTCTGCATAAATGCTTTAAAATATCTGCATCAATAAAACTAGGAAGTATTGTGGAAAATCTATTATTTATTGGAGTAGTTTTTTTAGGAGTACTTGTTACGTTTTCCACATCATCATTTGTACGAATTCTATTATAAAAAAAAAAAAAAATAAGAAAAAAAGAATACATACAATTAAATTTCACGAAATATGTAAATAAAAAGGATACAATTTAAAATATTATAGTAAATTATTTTTACTAACGATGTTCTTCTTGATCCATCTCCTATATGTGAAATTTGAGTTTCTGTTGTTTCAAATAAGTCACGAACTTCTGTTTGTTGTCCATAGCCTGATCCTCTTCTGCGCTTTCTTTTCCGTAATCGTTTTCCTCTTCTTCGTACAATTGTCATTTCCTTATTTGATTTTTCTGTTTCCTCTTCTGTCACGTTTCTATTAGAATTCTAAAAGATTTTAAAATATGATGAGTTTTCAGAATTATGTAAATACATAAAATATTTATTATTAACCTATTTAATGAATTATAATTTCAAACAATAATTATCTATTTTTCAAAGTTATTAGTTAAACTAATAATTAATTAGAACGAATTTTTCTTAAGATGGTATATTATGATTTCTTTTTCTCCTTAAACAATTATTATTTATACATATTTTTATATAAATCTTTAGTTAAAAATTTAATTATATTAAATGTTTATTAGCATATAACATTTTCTATATCGTTCTATAAAATATTTGATTTTGAATTTTTTTATGCATTTTAAATTGATTTAATAATAAATACCGATTCATTAGAAGCATCTACATTTGGAATATCGATCGTCGAATCTTCAATATGAATCGAATTTTCTATCATACGTCTTGAAGTCGGTTTAGATACAACAATTTCATTTTTTCGATGGGTTGGTGGTGGTTCTAAAGTCAATGCATGCCAACTAAAAATTTCATTTTCCTAATAAATAAACAAATTTTACTTTTTAAATATTAATAATATATAATACGCATTATATAATTAACAACTACAAAAAAAAAATTAATAATTATAAAAAAAGCCTTAAAATTTTAATTCAACAGAACTAGCGCAAATTACAAACCATCTGTTTCTGTGAATTCGTTCTAAGGTCTAGAATCAACGTAGTTCGTTCTCGTAAATTGCAAGCCATCGGAAATTCTTCCTGAGCCGCTCTATTTGTCAAAGGAGGACCGCTAGCGAGTGTAGGTGCAGGAGTCAAAGGTCTCGAATCAGTCTCGGTATATTTTCGAAATAATTCCTCGGGAACAGTGTTAGAATCATTAGTCATTTCAGCTCCAGTATTTCCACTTGCATCGACAGTATTTCCTACAGTTACTAAATTCGCTTTAATCATTTCCATTTCTTCTGGTAATAATAATGTCTTTCCCTCATTTGCCTGGTGTATAGAAAAAAAATTATTAAAAATATTTTTTATCTCATTATCTCTGTTTAGAACATTTTCGATATATCTAATTTTTTAAATATTTCTTGTTTGTCTAGAATTAATTTTTTTTTTTTTTAATTAGTACATTAAAAGAACAAGCTTTACCCATGAATCTTTAGCTCGTCTGAGAACTTCTCTTGCTTCACAATCTGCTGGATGATTACACAATATAGAGCAGCCATAAGGATAAGGATTAAAGAGACCAGAAAAAGGACGAAGAATAAAAGGTGCTGGTTTAATAAAACCTGAAAGTTCCACATTCTACAACAAATAAAATATTCATAATTTGATTATTCATTTCTATATACATAATCATAAAATACGATACGATTACAATGAAATTTTAATATTATATTATATTTTAATTTTGTTAAACAGTAATTCAGTTGCGATTAACATATAATTTTATATTTTGTAAAATATCATTTTATAAAAATAGATTGACTCATATGTTATGTATACTTTCACTTATGCTGAATTATTTCATTGTAATTAATTCGTTGATTTATTACCAAATTTTTTTCAATAAATACCTTCGATTTAGGTCGATAAGTTGGTCGGATACGTGCTTCTAAAAGGCCTGTTGCACTTGCGATTCCTGGCATTATTTTACATTAGATTATTACAATAACACAGTATCATAAGATTCTTTATCAAGATGACAATAAATCAGTAGTTGATCACCTTGGAAGCTCGTTGCTAACGTGAGTTTGATGGGTCGATTAATGAAGAAAATATTACATTAGATCACATTTTTATTTTTAAAATTTCGTTAATTATTATATAGAAGAAAAATTCTAAAAAAAATTGTTATGAACACTATATATATACATACAAATTCTTAAAACTATTATTCCATTCGATTTAACTTTATAGCAAATATTATGTAAGGTTTAAAAATTTTTAATTTAAATATCTTAATTTTTCTATTTAAATCTTAATTTTTATTTTTTTAAAAATTTATTTTATTATTAATAGAAAAGAAATTGATAAATGTTATCAATAAATGAAATTAAAGACTGCATTATAAAAAGTATTTTTAATATATTAATTATATTTCTCTTTTATCTTAATTTTTCTAGTAATACAACTAAATAATAATTTTTATTAATTAATCTAGAAAATAGTATTTAAAAACATCTATTCAAATTTGTAAACAATACTGAAACAATATGAAAATTTTTTATTATTAAATACTTATAACAAATTATTAAATAATATGAAATCAAATTGAAAAATATTTAATGTTACAATAATATTAGATAATTGTTTATTGTTGTTAAACAATTGTTTATTTATTTCTTGTATAATCTAATTAATCTAAACTTTAAGCATATTATCTAAGAAAGGATTATCTTGATAATGTCCAGGATATTTTTTCTTATATTTTAATCCAGTTACAAGATTAGAACTCTTCGGGAATGCTGTCTGACCATTGAATAATGTATCCGTATCTGAAATAATATTGTTTTAATTAATATAAAATTTTATATTTCATAAAAAATAAATATAAAATATCATAAGAAATATAAATTCTCATTATATAATTATAAGAATTTTTTTCTATTTCTTTGTTTTTTAAATATACGTATTTACATTATTTAAATTATAAAAAAATAATATATAAAATATTATTTAAAATTTTTTTAAGATTTAAAATTTTCTTTCACAACGTATATGCATAAATTTATAAAATAATGAAAAATATCTTACACAAATGAGACAAATTGTATCGTTAAATAAATAAATCAATCATATCGAAAAAATTAATTAAAGAATTATAAAAATTACTTACCAGGATGGAAACGAACATATTCGTAATTAATATGTAAATTCTTTGGTAAATCCATTGAACGCATAGCATCTAATGGAGTTACATTACCGACTGGGGTTTTATAGTAATTCTTCAAATCACCTGAAACATAATATATCTTTGTAAAAAAATGTATCTTAGTAAAAAAAAAATTTATTAATTATAATTTATACAATTAAAATTTTCTATAAAACTTACCGATTGTTTCAATATAACATAATACAGCATTCGTTATTGGATGTTGAAGTTCTTCTTCGCATGCTAGAAAAAGATTGAAACGTTGTAATGGATCTTCGATTTTTGTTTCATCAACCGTTGAAATTTGTTGCGTTTCACAAATTTTATTTATCCTATCACATACATCTTCTGGCGGATTATATTCCTTCTGATATCTCAAAAATCTGTAACAATTGGATCAATTTATTATATTAAAATATAAAATTATTAATGAATAGATATTCAAAGATAGACATTTGAATATTATATTATATTTATATTTTAGATTAAAAATTATCATTCAAACTTTCATTAAACTATTAAAGAATTATTAAAAATATAAAAGGATTAATAAAAATATAAAGAAAGAATTAATAA